GGATTTTTTTTTTCGATTTAATAATTTTTTGTAAAAATCGAATTATCAAGGTTTGTAACAATAGTTGGACGTGTACTTGGCGCGATGGTTTACAGTGAAACTGTTTTTTGTGGGATTCATTTTTCCTAAAACCAAAGCATATAAAACAAATATTATCTGAAAATCAATTGGTTATTTTTACTCTCAAATTAATATAAAGAAACATCAAATTTATTGTAGAGAACAGATTGGAACCAAAAAAATGATTTTGTAAAACTTAAATTAATTTTCTTGAATCGAATAGATAAGTTTTCCAATAGAATAAAATTGAACCAGAAAATATTTCGCAATCAGAGAAATTTTCGTTCAATTCATGTTCAATTTTTCAATTTTACTAAATTAACTTCTGCATGAACATTCAAGTAGAGATTCACTAAAATTTTTGTTGAATAAATATCGTTAACAATAAACTTACTGATACTTGTAATACAAATCCTCTTTGCATTTCTTCGTGAGTTGGACGAAAATGTTTAATAATTTTTTTATTTTGGATTGCATTACAAACACCAAATAATGAGGCCAAATGAGTTAAAATAAACGCCGTTTTTTCGTGTAAATAAATAAAAAAAATTATATAAAATAATATACTTTACGACCTTTTAATTTTACAGCTTATTTGAGATAAATCGATTCTATGTAAACTTACTTTCACTTATGTCAGTAACAGAATCATCAAAAATATCACTATCGATCAATTTTTTATATAAAAATTGTTCCACTTTTCTCCAATTTTCCGTTGCAATCTGGTCTCGATCAGGATATAAAGTATCAAAATCTTCTTTAAGCTAAAAAATTATATTTTTTAATATAAATTACTTCCATTCATTAGAGCAAGAGTCGAAGAAAAAAAAATAAACGGAAAAAAAGAATAATTATTTCAACAGAAACATTATTCTATTCAAAAATTTCTTTTAAATCAAAATATGTCCAAGACATTTTGTACGTTTTATAATAAACGAATTTGATTCGAGCTAAAGAATATAAAACTAAGAAAATAATTTTCACCAATATGTTTCTATTAAATAAAACAAAAAAAAATTTCGAAAAAACAATTTGTATTTAGTATGAGTTGATTTTAAATTATTCAATAACTTTTTCGCTTGATTTAATAAATTTAAGTTCTTTGAGATTATATACCAAATTTTTTCTTTTAAATCAATTGACTTATTTTATTTCTATTGAAAGATGTCTAGGGGGTAATTGTTATTATTCTGTTTAGTTGTTAGATTTTTAATCATATTTACATTGAAAATAATATTGTTTTATCAAATAAAGTGAATACGACTATAAAAGTTTCTATCGCTAATTAATGTATTTATTAATACGTCATAAACTAATGAAATGTATTTCTCAAAAAATCGCATTGAAAACATAAGTCACATATAAATCAGTTAATTTGTTCGAAAAGTATCTTTGTTGAATAGTTATTGAAAGTGTTTTTAAATAAATAAAAATTTTTTGTTTCATAAATTTTTTAATTTTTTCAACGATCAATTAGGGGAGGGGGGGCAAAATGGGCCCCCTAGAATTTTC